ACTACTGAAGTCCAGACAGGCAACATCTACAGCCTTTCCTTCATCAGTAAGCTGGTCACCTTCTCATGGAAGCCAATGATTTGGCCAATCTAACTCCTGTATATTTCTGTGCAAATCTTACCATTTGTTTTCCTGTCATTTGTTGTGGCCCTCCACCAAAACTCACATCAAACTGAGCTGGATGCTAGAGGCAGTAGGCTACTTGCTACCATAAAAGTTGCTTATGTAAGGAAAGGTCACAGAAATCTGTCTCTGTCATTAGTCTTCAAACACACCATTGAAGTTTAATTGTTTCCTTGTTCAAGTGTAACAAAACCTCAAAGCGTGGTATACAGGCATGCCAGAAAATCAAGTAACATTTTGCACACAAATCTCAAGTAGAAATACACTTGAAGTGACATATTTGGGGCCTTTCTTATGCATAAACCTGAATTCACTTCATTTAATACTGTGGTTATAACTTCAGTAGTTTTTCTCATGTGCTTCCAAAATGCAGAGGACAAACTTTAATATAACCAACAGGAGGTCTTGTTTTCCCTTCCCATTCAAATCTTGTACCATAATCAATAGGTATTTTGGATACATAAATACAGCTGAATCTGGTCCTTGATTAGTTTTTTTTTATTTATACTACAAAGGCCACAAGATTCAGGGGTTGCCAAGGCAACACCTCTTCAGCCTCCTTACTTTATACTTTGATATGAAATCTCTCATTAAGCAAATGTATCAAAACACCATTCAGAATGACAGGCTATTTTACAAATATGCCTTCACATAACAAATTTATTCTTCTCCTAAATAAGAGAGAAAGGCTGGAACAAGGTTACCTTTTACTAAGGTGAAAAGAGGAGAGGAAAAATGGTATTCCAAGCTATACAGGCTTTAGTAAGACATTATTACTTTAATATGACTTTGCATCCTGAGCTTTCTATTATAGACAATAAATTTTGTACTACTTGGCCAAAAAATCTTCAAAAGGAAAGGAAAGAAACAAAAAAAAACCCAAAAAACTGCACCACACAAGTAGAGTCTGAGACTGAGACGCTAGAATATTGAGTTACTGAAACTAACAACTGCGTATAAAAGCTTTACTGAACTACGGGAAATGTAATACTCCAGCATAGGTTTTAGAACTAAAAAGCAGGCAAAGTTTAGTAAATCACAAAAAACTTACTAGTAACCTACTGCTGCTTTTTGAACCTCGATGTTGAGGTCTAAAGTGGTAATTAGCAATAAATCACTAGCCTTCTTTAGTGAGCAGTATTCATTACGTAGTACTCTACCTACAGTTATGCTCCAGGATCCCTTGGCAAGGCCAGGCTCCTGCAGGAGAAGGGATCTGTCAAAGACAGTTACTCCTGTGCTGTCTTTTAGTCTGCAAGACTGAAATCTGAGTTTCAGCACACTACAAACTGATCCAGAGTGAGTAAGTCATGGCTGGCTGGCTGGGTTAGCAGTAGAATGGCAATAGGGTAGTCCCAAATGTGCCCCTCCAAACTCTTGCTTGTGCCCTAGCATCCTCTGTGCTGCCAGGAGGCTTTGCAAAGATGCTATCACTAACAATCAGCTAATTCTACATCATCTGCAGGCATTTCAGTATAAGCTGAGAGAGATGACTTTTCTGAAGAGAAGATTGTTACAAGAAAGAAGATGCACAGATACTTGTAGGTATGGAGAAAATATGAAAATTGACGTGATGGCTGCTTCTGTGTTTTAACTCCTTCCTTCGCTCCCATTTTTGGCTTGTAATTTCTAGTTCAGCTTTTCTCGCCGTGACCCTGTGACACACCGACCATTCACAGCAGTAAACAAAATAAATCCTACGATGTGCCACCAAAGAAAAAAGAGCGAAATTCCCACTGGGGGGCGCATACAGCACTAGCAAAGCCATCGCTCCCTCCTCCCGACAATTATGTCAGTTCCAGGTCAGAGACAGCAGCCCCCAGCCTGCAATGACAAAATAACACCACTTACAGATACTTGGATCTACCAGCAGCTCCTCAATTACCACAGAGGGCTGGTTTGCATGGTTTCTAGAAGAAGAAATCTCTCCTCATTTGTGAAGAGTGGCACTGAAAAACACCTTGCATGGCTGGATCGTTTATGGGCTATCCCGTCTGCTGCTGCCTCAGTGCACTCACTGCTCAGTGTTCAGGGCATGGACTGTCTTGGACCATCTAACTGCATCCAAAGCTTTGCCACACTGTTTATACAACTAGTTTCACTACACAGCCAACTCCTGCTGTAATCCCAAAAGATCAAAGTGGTGTCAGACTGTGGATGTGCCCAGAATTCCCAATTTCACACATAACAGAGGACTGTACATTCATGCTGTTCTTTACTTCCCCCACCATCGTGTTGTTTTCTCACTCCCTAGATTGTTCAGGTGATGAATAAAACAAACAGTTAGTGGCTGTTCCAAGCCCTTCAGGCGTCTATCACCTTTCTGTTTTGAATGTAGGAGACCCTGGAGAGAACAAATTTCACACCTGAAGCTGAAGGCTCCAGAATTTAAAACAAAGACCCTACCCCCCAAAAAAACCCTGTAAGCTTCTTAGAGACACATTCTATGTAGGACAACAAGAAGGCTGACATCAGATTCAGGTATCATGCTGCCATCCAGTCAGTCCTGACACATTTCCATTTAATTGAGCCTTAGAAGACAGCATATTATTCTGAACAATATTGCTGAACAGGTAGTTGAATAAAATCAATTACTTGCCCTAGGGATTTTTAAGACATATGTTCCCTTAATTATTGTCAGATATGCAGGTCAACAAAAAAAGGAAGATTGATTTCTGGATAAACAGAATAACTGTAATGTTAAAAAGTGGTATGAAAAGAGAAATTGTGAATGAAAGCACTTTAATGCCCATTTTAGTGAAAGGATGGGAATATTCAGGAAGTGCTTGGAATCAAGAAACTGTCAGAGCCCCATCTGTCCATCAATAGCAGCATGCACCAGCCTCTCCATCCTTAATGCTCTTATCATTTGCACCTTGCTGATCAGGATGCATTTCTTCTTGTCCAGCAATATACATGTATTGATTAACGTAATATAATGATCACGCTGGTTGCATCAGCAATGTTAAAACAAATTGATCTTGGCTAAAATATTCAAGTCAGTCTTATTTTTTCTGACCCAGTGCTGTCATCTCATCCTCTCACTGATACATGTTGTGTCCCAAACTGGCCTGCAGCATCAAAAAAGGAGAGTATCCCCAGACCTATCCCTGTAGAGAATCAGAGAGGTGAAATAACATGTTTTCACTGTGAAACAGGCTCACTTCTGTAGTGTCAAACTACTTCCCAGCAGTGTCTAAGATAACGCAACTAACAATCATAATTTTTTGTTTCCTCCAGGAGAGGAATTCGTGCTATTTCCTACGGAGCTTTGGTCTGTTTTGCACCAGATTGTTTTTTTCTGGGCTTTTGTGGGGAAGAGTGAAATAGCTTATATCTTGGGATTTGGGATTTCTTAGGTTTTCATCATAGGAGATATAAGAACCAAGAAAATGTCACCTTGCCTGTGAAAAGAGTGGTTAAGATCTGCAGCAAGGGTCAGTTCTTGGAAGAAATTGCATGCAAGCTTCTTTCCCTCCAAGTTCTTTTTCAAAAACACAGGCTAGGAAATCTATATTTCCAGCATCAATCTACCTATATATCTATTCCCTACTCTGACTGGAGGCACCATAGAGAAGCAGAGCAAAGAACCAGTAAGTTTCACTCCATAAGCCACTCAAATATACGTGCTCAAAGCCATTTGTTGTGCTTCCTCCCTTTTCTCCTTGGTCCATCTGTAGCCACATAAATCAAACAGTGACAGCTGCAGCATTGTTTCTTCTATGGCTTCCAGTTGCTCCTTCCCAAATCCTCACTCCTCCATGAGTAGATGAGCTGTTATACAGCTCTGTATACATACATACATACATATATATATATATATATACACATATTCATATACAAGCCTTCCACTCTAAGAAGAGGATGGGAAGCCCCAAATGAAAGGAGCGTGACTTTGTGAAAGCATGGTAAATGCCAAGCCTTTGCATCCATACTGTGGCTATACATGGATCTGTACTACAAAAGTATATTTTCCAAAACAATACGGATGGGGTTAAGGAAGATGTTTCTCCTAAAGACATCAGCCTACAGCAAAAATTGGAAGCAATTTCTGTGAAAGGTGCTGAAATGAAAGCAGATGTTATAGGAAGCATGTAGATAAAGTATGTACGCTTGTTTACATAGTATGCAGATGATAGACACATCTATGTTTTAGTTTAAATTTCTACTAGCAAATTCCATGAAAAAATAAACACAGAACACCAAAGATCTTCCAGAGATGAGAAAACAATGAATTCAATTCAGTTCCTCACAGAATAAGTCATTCAGTAAAACAGACTACCACAATGTCTAGTGGCTTTTTAATTAAGTCTTACTTAATGATTCTCTGCTAGTAAATCCAAAATTTTTCTGCTGCTTTTTTTCCAAGATGTTCATGGATGGCAAAGAGTTACCAGAACACTCATCTGTGAAGTTTTTCCCACAGTCTTTTCCCGTTGTATTCCTGTTGTCATTTATGTTTAACATCAGAAATATATTCTTAAGCACTTCCTTGCTGGCATTATCATAGATTATCACAGATAATGCCAGCCAGGTTCCAAGGGCAGCGCTAAGTATATGAAACAGGTAATGAATAATCTGTCTAGACAATAGATGCACCAGCACAGTTCCTCTTTTCTCAGTTCTGCCAGCTGCTAGCAGCTTGGATAGCAAGCTGAATACTTGTTAATCCTTACATCTCTTATAGTAAAAAAAAATAAATTATTAATTAGATTTGTCTAAACCAAGAAAAAACTTAAATTGTACCAACATCTATTTAAGGATTAAATCCCCAGTCTACCGATTGGTTATAATGATGAGCAAGGCCAAGGGCTATTTCACATTCTCATCTGGCACACAGATAAATCAGTAAGCCTCAGGTAACATGTGGCACTCACCTGGTGCAGCTTTTGCCAAAATTCAGGTCCATCCTCCATTTTTCTTAAGCTCGGTGGAATGTACCAAAAGCAGACGTTCGCATACTCCGGCTAAACAAGAGAACAAGTAACTGCTTATAAGATGCAATAGATGGTTCAGGGATACATATTACAGCTTTTCAAAGAGTTCTGCTTGTTTGGTTATTTTTTTTGGGGGGGGGGGGGGGGAGTGGGGTTGAATTTATACCCTTTCTTTTAAAGCTTCCTTCTCCAAGTCACATTTGTTTCCCTTTTTTTGAAACTAGAAATAATTTTCATATCATCCATTCCTCTTCCTGCTGCCAGGGGCTCCTTTATAATTTCTTCTTCCTATATCTATCTTTAACTCTGTTTTACTCAGTAAAAAACTTTGACTAGAAAAAATATAAGAGAGGCATAGAAAGGTAACTCATAGAATTCATATTTGAAGCAACTTTAAAGAATACATTTTCTTTTTAGTGTTTTGGGGTTTTGAAACAGAAATTTTCAATGATGCCTTTTATACAAAACACAAAAACTCAATTTTTGTGACCATTTAACACTTGCACACCTCATCATTTTCCTACTGAGCAATGCCAATCTCCTCTCATGTCATAGAGCACACTATACAGTGCTGGAGTTAATGCTGAATTTCTCAATTTCCACATTTTATAAGAATCTCAAGACCCCTTGCAGGGTATGCACCATATCCTGAATGTATCTTGCTTAATATCTAAGCAGGCCTTTTGAGCAAAGACTGGGACTCCACATGTCTGCTTCTCCCCAGGGAAATTTTGCCTTTAAACTCAGCAGAGTTAGCTGCAAGGCTCCCAGCAAAAGTGGCTGTTCACCATGCATTATAAAATAAGGAATTTTGTGCTTATGAGGTTTCTGTATTATATATGATTGATAAAATGTTCCCAGCAGGCCATTCTAGGGTCTCTATACATTTTCTGCTAATTTGGAGTTTGTTTTTTTTTTTTGTTTACCTGTACAGAGAACAAAAATATGAGGAATAGATACGCTTTCTACAACCCATAAATCACAACATCAGTCTTGACCTCCACTCTTTGCAGCACAGCATTCAAATGCCATCTAGGTTATAGTATGGATTATGATAATTTGGACTGTGAACTCACACACCCTGCTCCTCTCCCACATGCCATCCTCATCACTACTAGTGGAAAGAAAAAAAAACACTGCTAAAAAGGAGCTTGGTAGCTGAGTCACACCATCTCTTTGCCCCACTGTGGATGTGGCTGCTATTATAATCCCAGGCAGTCTCCTGAATGAGGAGAGCTCATCAGCTGAGACATGTTCTTCCATGAAAGGCCACTGAGAGCTGCTCATATCATTTTACGCTTCACTTCAAAGAATGCATTAAATACAATTTAATCATCAAGAAGAATATCATTGTCAGCAGGAACTGAGCTGCAAACCTGCCACGTGCTGCTGCTGAATGGAATAAAGATCAGTTCTTAAAGTCCCATTTCTTTCCCCAAAGAGCTTGCTTTGAGTACACATGTAAACACAGACCCTGAAAAGGCAGTGCCTTCCCCATAAGAACAAGCACTAGCTCAGTGTTACAGGGTTTATTCCAAAACTATTTAAAATCAGATGTCAGGAGCAGACAGATGGCATACATTACCATATTGCCATTGCCTATATTGCCTTCTTGATTATCTCACAAGTGGCATTTCCAGGCCGTAGAGCAATTCTCATTATAGGTTTTTCCTCGCTGCATGTATCAGAGGATCATCTTCCTAAGATTCTTGTCTGAAGCCCATCTTCCCTTCAGAGAGGCCTTGCACAGCTGGGCCTTGCTGCCTCATAGCATCTTCTCTTTGAATTCTCATTGCTTATCCCCTGAAAATTTTCTTAACCCTTTCAACTTCTCAACTCGTAGAAAAACTCATAGAACTCAAGAAGCTCAACTTCTTTCTCATAGTCCGTATTACAACACTCCCTTCTTTAAATTTAGGTGTCCCATTCCTGCAGGAGCTACACAGCAGCCTCTGCTCTTACCAAGAGTTTCCACATCTACAGCAGACCTGGGCTCTCTGCTAAGGTTTACAATAACAAGTGGACAGCTTTTAACAGACTTGCCACTTTACTAACCCCATCCTGTGCTGCTGGCCTAAAATTCTTCAACTGAACAGCAGTTTTCAAAGGTAAAGAGAAAAGTTTGCATTGTATGAATACTATAAAATATTTTTCATATTTTGCCTTTTGTCTACCCTAACCTGGAATGCTCATGGTGGCACTTACTCCATTTCCCATCCTCCTCCACGTACCCTTCTCCTCCTGATCCCACACAGCAGCCTGTCTTTCATACAAGTACACTTCCAACAATGCAAAAGTTTTTTTATAAAAATGACAGGTCTTTGCAATATCCTCAAATATCAGCCTTATTAACCAAAGAGCTGAGGACAGGTGGAATTGCAGTACTTAAGCTCTATTCCCTTCACTAGCTCTCCCCCCAAGCAAGGTCACCAAACAGGAAATAAGCTGACAGTTTTAGTAAAACAAGTGAAGCACAACTTTTGGGTAGTTTTTAGGAAGACGGGAATTGAAATAGAACTAGGGAAAAAAATATGGACTTTAACAATGCCAAGTCCATTTTTAGGATCAAACTATTTTCCCCTCCGGCACACAATCTTATCTGCAGGTCTGGCAAGCACTGATTTTTTTACAGCCAGCCTCTTTACTCTCACAAAAAAGTGCTCCATCTACACCCCCTGAGGCAACACAGGACCAGAAGCCAGGAAATTAGGTAGAATGATAGTAGGGAACACAGCACATATGTTATGTGTGTTCAATCATATCTGTGGATCTCCAATACACAAACTTACTAGATTTGATACTTTAAATACAAATTGGTAATTGACTAAAAAGAACAAAATCAAACAATGGACACTTCCTAACAATAACAACAGTTCAGTTCTCTTTTCACTTACCTCCAAAATAAGCTGGAATCCCTCTCTTTTTTTAATTTCCTCCACTAGATATCTGTAATTAAAAAAACAGGGATTTAAAGCACAGAACAAAACAATACACACAGACACCAGCACAAAAAAAAAGGTCTTAAACATGTATTTATTTTTCCTTTTTTTTTTCACACTAAGAAAACAACAGAGTTAAACCTCATTTCTACCTGCTGTGAAAATGTAATAGCTATCAGTTCCTAGAAACAAAAGATGGCTACAGCCAGCCAAGGAGCACTGAGGAGAAGCCAAATTCTGTCCTCAGGCACAGATTTTCAGCAGAGCCACATGGCACAAATTGATCCTATTTGCATCAGGTTGTGAACTTTCCCAGAGCAAATTAATACCTCTGTCCTTTGTTCTCAAGTGCCAATGTTGGGCTGTCATGTTATTTCACAGCCACTCTGACACCTCTTGCATTCTACTATCACCAGGATCTCTTAGCTTAGCCCAGAATTTAAAAATTTGAGCATACTTCCAGCTCAGCTATTTTCCCAGTGCTGCCCACAGTGCAACTTTCCATTCAGTGGGCCACTCCTTATGTACAACAATCCCTGGACTTCCTATGCTAACAGTGTGTTAAAATGGGAATTTCTTTTCTTTCTCACAGAACACAGAAGCCTTCAATGGAAAGATGGGTTTGGATCAAGATTTTGGATACAAACAGCTTCAATTTACAGATTTTTTTAGAACATGACTGCAAGTTTGCCATGGCACATATCACACAGGAATTCTGAAGCAAAGAGGACATAGATGGGATTTCTCTCTTTCTTCTCCCCTCCTCAAAGCCTTACAAAGAAAAAATTCTGCAAATTCACAGCAAATTCACGCTGCTTGTCCAGTCCAACAAAATTTTAGCCTTCTACATGAAGATATTGCTGTCTAACATTAATAAACCTGACAAAGTTAAACTACTGATTGTGCACAAAACTGTTCTTCTTTTGCATTCACTATTTGGCATTTTCTTGTCTGAAGCTGCATTACTGGTCATCACACTAGTAATTATTTTCAGTGAGAAAGAGAAATATTGGGAAAATACTCTCCCTTGGTCCTACCCACACAGCTGAAACTTGCCCCTGGCAGGGACACCTCTAGCACAGCTGTCTCTGCAACGCCCTCCCCTCAGCAGCCGTGCTGCAGAAGCAATAAACAACACCCTAGATGGCACACATTTTTCCAGACAGCGCCTGGGGAGTTGTGCCGCTGTTTATCATTAACAAGCGCTGTGCCTGCGACTCGCTACCTCCCAGCACACACCCCAGCAGAGCCACCGCTGCTGTGGGGGCCTGTGCCCACAGCCCCCAGCTCAGGAGCTGTGCTGGCACTGCTGAGGTGTTTCCCCTCGCTGGAACAAGCCACGGTTCTGGTCGTTTCTGCCATGACTGCTCAGATCCTCCCGCGTGCCCTTGTTTGTTATCTGGCTGTTAGCGTCCACACTACTGCTCGGGTTGAAAGAGAAACATGATTATCTGTAGGGTAATTATCTTATGTCAAAGCTTGCTGCTTCTGTCCTGCTATTATTATTAGAAGATACTTGTCTGTGCTATAAAACCAATATTCAGAAACATCAACAGGCTATTCATATGACAGTGGCCCTCTATTTATTTTTTTTTTCTTTCAATAAACTATGAAAACAAACTTACGTATAATCACTTTCCTTTTTCATTTTTTTTAAGGTCTTGAATTGTTAGAGCAATTTTGCAATGCTTAATACCTTTGCCTCTTACCTCAAGTGCCTTTATTTTATATCACCTAGGTCTAAAATCTGACGTGGGATACCTGATGTCAGTCAGGTTCACAACACTGTTAATCACGTTCTTAACTACACTGCCAATAACCTAAGAAGGCAGCCATTAGAAAATCCATTGCCCATGATTTATCTTGCCAGTATCATTTGATAGCAGTGGAGCAATTTACTTTGTGCATCTTTCCACAGCTGACAGTGAAGTTTTATTATCATGTCACAGTCGTAGTATGTTAGAAGGGCTTGAGTCTTAGTGAAGACCAAAGTACACAGAGAAGTGTCATTTGCTATGATTAAGCCTTGCAGAAAATGGGGGGTGAAGATCTGCCGTGAAAGTAGACATATGTCTGCTAACAGTGGGTGTCAGAAGAGGAAACAGGCAGAAAAATTCCAAAGAAAATGAAGCATAAAATGCAGAGATGCTTATATAGTAACTATAGTTGTATTCTAAAAGCAGTTTACTTCTATTTTCTTTTTAGTGTACTTTATAAAACAGCATCCCTAAATCAAAAATAATTGGGGGGAAGAAAATATGCAAAAAAATTCTGAAGTGATCAGCTGGATGCTCTACTCTACATATTTTAAAAGTAAGCCTTTCCAAATAGACAGCATCACAAAGTTCCTGGGATAGTTAATTCCCTGAAAGCATGATTCACCTCCAGTTGAAGGTTTTACTGGAATAGCCAACAGGCAAAGTTTGCTGCATCAGAAGTACATGCCTGCAACCACCTAAAACCTTTTCAGCTCCACTTGGCTACAATCAAAAACAAATAAAGCAATCTTGCCCTTAAATTCTATAGTCAGTGGACTAGTTCCAGAATTAATCTGGGTCTGTGTTCAGGAGCACTGAAATACTACCTTGCAATTGGAGTAACATCTAATGTAACAAGTGAGGAGAAAGGCTGCACAGCTGAGTAGTTGGTAAACCTGGAACAGTGCCCATGTCCATGCAAACTCAAGATGACAATGCCACCACTGTGAAGAATCTATTTCACCAGATAATGTCTAAAAATTAAATTTCTTCCTAATGGAAAAACAAACCAAAAACCAGAAGAGACAAGCCAGTCACTCCTTAGAAGTGTTACCAGCTGAATCCTAATGTTAGGCAGAAATATCGATCCCAGAAAGGTGATTAATCACTACACAGTCAGTCAAATGACCTTGGCCAGTGACCTTGGTACGGCTGAATTCTCCTACTGATAGTGGAAAGAATTACTTTGAACAGACAAAGAACAGCACAATGCTTCACAACAAAAACAAGGTGCAATTTAACCAGAACGTATTAAAAAACACATAACCAGCCAAAAAACTGAGTGGCTTTAAAGAAATGAAATGGAGAAAAAGACACAGTTTTTTTGAGCTTTTTTGGTTTGGGTTCTTTCTTTTTATTCCTTTCAAATCTACTCTGGGTTTAGGTAAGAGGCATTTTTATTTTCTCTTTAAGTAACTTCATTAGAGTCAGACTATTCCTTTAATTTTGATTGAAGTAAACATTTGATTATTTTATACTTGTTATTTCATATAAAAAGTAAAATGCCAATACCAATTATTTGACTTAAGACAGTGTATAGCTAATTTTGTGTAGTTTTCATTATGTTCTGTCTTGTATAAATTCTGAGCAAACATTTTATTTAAAGTGAACTTCTTTCAATGGGCCATTATTCCAACATAATTTCTTAGAAGAGAAAACCACCCGGGTATGGAAGTCTCTTTCCAGAAACCAAGACATCACCATCACTTTATGAGCACCTTCTACCAAGAACTTTGCTGAATTCACTTGCAAAACTCAGTTCTGCAAGACCAAAAACTTCATGAAATTGAAGAGGACAAGTGTGGGGAAGATCACAAGAAAAAGGTGTTTCAGTCCCTAACTCATTCCCTAACAGAACATGCTGTAAGTGTTAAGAACTTCAGCAAATTTGAGAAAAAACACTCAGTAGGTCGGAACAATATTGCTTTTGTACACCCTCTTTCACAAGGAATGACTTGAACAGGAAAATTTGTTTCTTGCCAGACACAGCTTTGGATTCTGGCGCTTCTTTTACATCAACACCAGAACACCCTGTTGATCTAAAAGAAAGTGTTTTGGTAATTCTGTCCTATGTCTAGTCCAGGCAACATAAATGTTCCACAATACAGACTGATAGCCTAATTTTGACTTCCATAATTACAATTAAATATTGTAGCAAACATAATAACACTAATTATTATTTTTCTATTAGTTCCACCTATTATACACAAACAAAAGGATAGAGGCAAAATGTAACAACGGGGACTGTTCCAGGATATGGACTATCAGCAGTGCCAACATTTCAGCCCATCAAACAGACTACACATACTCAAAGCTGTGAGGCGGTACCTTGCCAAAGCCAGTGCCCTGTTTACTCTCTCCTCCAGGCCTGTGGTTCCCAAAGCTTTCCACATCAGCCAGAATTTGAACGCGTCCGGACGCCTGCTGCACTGGATGGACTTGTCACCAGTGTCGTAGCTGACATCGTAGAACTTGTCCTGCTGGAACAGGTACGCAGCCTCGGCAGAGTAACACTTCTTCAGGAGGCCCTATGAGGAAACACCACAGAGGCTTTGATTGGGTATAAACGTTTCCAAACCTCACAAGCCAAAGCCTTTCTTTCCCTGTCTGTATCAAATGCTTATTAAAACAGATCTGGGTATGCAGGATGCCATCCAAAGCTTACAGTGTGGTTTAAGAACCATGGGTGAGCCTAAAGGCAGTGAATTCACACCGACAACCAGCAAATATATTTTTATGATTATTTTCTTCATAATGTCATGGAAGAGTGTCAGGCTGAAGAGGAACTTTGACTCAGAGCTCAAGAAATCATGGGAGTGGGTATCACAGAAACAGTTGCCATAAAATATATATGGATGTAAAAAAAGAGAGAAAATGTCCACTGCTTCAGTCTTTAGATCACAGAGTCACAAAATATTTTAAGTTGAAAAGGACCCACAAGGATCATTGTGTCCAGTCCAGGAGAATGGCCCACACAGGAGCCGAACCCACAGTCTTGGCATTGGAAGCACCATTATCAAAAACAACCCCTGAGGAACTTCCTACATTTTCACAATTGGCTCAATCCATTCCTGCTTTGGTTAGTTACAGGTTGGGAAGACTTTAGCCCAAATAAATAAATGTTTAGCCAGTACCACCAAATAGTCACTGTGGATTTGGGATAGGCTGACTGAGCAGAAAAACCACGAGCAGATTAGTACAGCCCAATTTTTTTCTCTTTCACATTTCAGACAAATGTAACATTTGAAAATAAACTTAAGAGAAGATACTTTCACATATGCTAATCATTATTTCTAAATAAAATTATTTTTATTCAGCAATCTCCAACCTACAACTTGAGGGACAATCTGGGTAGAGATGAGCAGCACAAAACAGACAAAGATTAATGAGTGATGTGGCAAGTTCCAGAAGAGAACACAGCTGGGAAACAGAAAGCACAGAGGCTGTGACAGGTTTAAAGGTGCAGAGGTAGAGACATAGGACTGGCCATTGGCTGAAGAATAAAATATCAAAATAAACTCTGTAAAACTGTGAAGTAGAGAGAAAGGCTGGCAGAAGGCAGGTTACAACAGCAGAGATGAGGGTGGCCCTATGAGGGGCCCTGGAGACAGGAAACATGGATCTGCCAGTGCTAAGAAGAGCACAACTCATTTTCCAATTCAATATCAGTCTTCAATTTGAACCAACAAAAAAAATCATTTCTCATTTCACCATTTTCTCTGCATCTGCTGCAAGTCTGATTTTGTAATGGCACAGCGTCTGATATCATTCTTAATCAAAGTGTCATATTCCCACAACAGAGGTACAATTCCTAATCCACATTCCAATATCCTACTTATGACTTTAGCACTGGCAATAAAATGAAGTAAAAAGGTCAAGGCAAAAAAAAATTAAAAAAAAAAAAATGAACTGGCATACATAGAATAATTCTGCCTCTCTCCTAGACTTTTCAATTCCCTCCAAAAAAGCAAAGCAAACAAAAAAACCCACCAGTTTGTAGAGCAAAAGGAGAACACCATCAAGGTTTCTCCATAACTTCTATAAGGGTTTGACAATCCCATCAAAATATTTGTTTGATAAAAATACAAAAAATACAGCAAATTTGGTCTGACCTCTTTCATCACAGGAGCATTGTGAAAAGACAGTTTTTATGACAGCTTGGAGGGAAAAGGGGCTGGTATCTGCTCTCCCTTTGCAGAGTGGTAACATGCAGCTGCAGCACAGGGTAGCCACAGCTGGAAAGCCAATGATGGATGCAGTGTTTCGCAGCCTATAAAATTCTAACACCTACTTTCCAATTTTCTCAAATAAAGAAAGGCAAGGAGGTGACATTAGAAATGACAGAATAGTCAAGCACTGAGGTATCCATACTTTTGAGGTTTTTTACAGCTTTTTTTTCTCTGTCTAGCAGCTGCAGAACAAGAAACAGGAGTCATTCTGTCAAGACATGGTGCTCTGTTCATTTAGACCTTCATACCTTTACTTTCAGGAGAATAACAGGTTTGCTAGACATGGTGTTTTAAAAAAAGAGAAAAAAACCCACAAAACAAGCAAATAGGCAGTAACATCCACAAATTCAATCTTATTGCTTTGTCTCTGCTGACTTAAAATGTTGAATGGTGTATCTGCAGTGAGGGTACAGCAGGGTTATCAGTGTGGTACTATCTTCTGCCTCATCAGAATGCAATGCAGCTGCACAATAGAGGATGTCACAGGATATTAATTCCCCTCATGCTGGTCATTCTATAAAAAAGTAACCACTGTTTGTCACAAGAAACCTAAATGCCTTTGGCAATATTACAAAAGACTGAGAAGTTCACTTAAGATCACAGGACAGTTGCAGAGTTACATAGTTAAAAAAAAATGCTCTACAATTAAGTTGCAACAAATATTTTGATGGCCCTGAGGCAGCTTGTATTGTTGGTAATGTAGTTCATTAAAAAAAAAAAAAAAAAGAAAAAAAAAGAAAATGCAGGTACTGTCCTCATGTCTCAGTGCATCTGAAACTGACAATACATGTTGGCTTGATGCTCCTTTTCCACCTGCTTATCTTTTATCACTTATCATTTACTAAGAATGCAACATGCTCAAGAAATCCTGCTGAAGATACTGATACTTTCAATCTCCAAAGGCAAGTATAGTTACATCCTCCTACACATCACTAGAGCAGAGGGGAAAAGAAACAAAAAATCATCCTTTGTGAGGAAGAGAGAAATTTCCCAGAAGAAAAGTGGGGGAGAAAGAGAATGGAAAGAAAATGAATGGAAGACAAAAAAGTCATCTCAATTTTCCTAGTCAAACAATGAAAAAGTAGAAGGAAAAAAAAAAGGGAAAGAAATATGCTTTAAATATGCTTTCTGACTCAGTGTTCTCAGTCCCAAGAAGATCCCAAAAGTTTTCCACACAGTAACTGCTACATCTGCTCAGAATTGCAAAAGTTTCATAGAACCACCCCATTGGACAACTTTGAGTTTCTTTCTTCATCTTTTATCTTTCTACCCTTTTTAATACAATTTCTCAGCCTTATAGTCAGTCTGTTAAAGTTTAGGAAATTGAAATACTATTTTCATAGAGGCCTCAATCCACTATGAAGTTTCAAAGAGCTTTTGATTTTGATGAAGTCTATGTATAGCTTTTTTTGTGCTCTAATTAATGGCAAATTGATGAAAAAATATTGATACTGAAAGCAAGAGCTCCAGTTTCATAATTCAACATTTTTTCTCATTGAAGAGACTTACCTACAGCAAGTCTTCTGATCTCCTTCCATTTCCATTGCTAGTTAAAAGTGAATTTCAATTTCATTAATAAAATATCTTTTTCCCTAAGACAAGCCTCTCCCTGATTTGCCTTTTCTGAGGCAATAAGGACAATCTTTTGAATAGCATACTTGAAAATTGTCAAAAGCAGTGCAGTGTAAAAGGATACTATAGCAATTTGTTTCAAGGGGTAAGAAGGAGCTCTCAGTTATATTAAACCCAAACAAAAGCAATGAGAATAGAGCATTTCCTTCAGCTGTCCTGGAGGGGAATCAGGGAGGTAGATATCTCTATGATATTGCTAATTATGAAGAAGAGATTACATGTGGGTGGTTACCATCATCACCTTAATCTGTACTAAAATGAGATTTCATTAGCTACATTGAGCCTTAATTCTTAACTAATAAGTAAAAATTCTGCTTATTACCTAGAACTGATTCTTAATTACCTGAACTAGGGCTTCACTCTCACAAGTCACAGAACTTTGGCACTTGTAATAAACAGTAGTTCTCTGTTTAAATGTAGATAATATTCAGACAGATATGGATGACAGCAAGGACAAATTGGAGTAGCTCTGTGGTTTTTAAGGGAGTATGTACAACCCAACAGCAATTCCTAGCATTTTAAGAACATATATGACCAAAACTGACTTCAGCAATGTTTTGAGGTTATTGATCCATCTAGCTTTGTGTTTAAATAGTCACTGCAATTCATGACTCAGCAATACCAATGTTTTCTGAGTGAGACTATCTTGCTGGAGAAGTGATGAAAGTTACTCAGGGCATGGCAGTGAAAAAGGAATAGATGTGCTCTTCTTGAGTGCCTTAAGCACTGAAGAACTACAGTCATTGATCTGAGCTTTTAAAAGGGATTAACCAATCTTTCTTTCCCTTTGGTGAAATTGCTTCTCTCTTCTAATCAAGTCAAACACATATGTGTCTTTTCTATCTCTACCTTCCTTGGAAATATTCCAACTTTGTTTCACTAAAGCTGGAAGATACTCTTTTATCAGCATTTCACAGCAGTAAATCTTTTTTTGAGGCTTTTTTAAAAAAAAATCTATACAATGTTTTATTCTAACAAGCCAGTTGCAGTATCTTAAATATATTAACACTGCTAAACCCCATTGAAGCAAAATGGCAAAAGAAAAACCAAAAAATAAATAAATAAATAAAAGCCACTATTACTTTTGTTACTGGGAAATTACAGTGTTACCAGTACAATTGAAGTGTGATGACATCTTCTAAAAATTATCTTTCATACAGAAAGTATGAAAGAGAAACAGAAAAACTGAGGGGGGTTAATTTGCTCACTTCTAATCAACTAAGCTTAATTCTGAAATATTCCATAATTTCCAAATGGGTCTTATAGCACATGGAAAGACAGGTTAACAAAACTTCCTTTATCAGTCTTTCAAAGAGAGATAGGGTAATTCGTAAATGCAACTTAATATTCATGATTAACATTTTGCTGCTTGATTTCTTGCAGAATTCAGAACTTCAGAATATACCTGAGGTCCCTTGAACATTCACTAGCAGAGCAATATGTGCCAGACTCTCCCAGCTCACATCTCAGCATCCAGCTCCCACTGATGCGTCCTAACCACAGTGTGAAGGAATTGTGTTCACATATAAATGTGTGCTTCCTTTTAGCCACAGGTATTTATGTGCTTTAGGAGAAGTGGAACAAGCTCCCAAGTGAGAAACTGATACATGTACTGTTCCCTTCTCTAACTGGTGCAAAAATACCATTTTTAATGGGAAACTGGAATCTGCTGCCTGTTCTGGTACAGAGAGGATCAAAGTGAAGCAACGCTTTTCTGTCAGTGTCTTAGATATGCATTTGATCTTTTTTTCTTAAGGATTTATATTCCAGCTAGTTAATAAGAAAGTACTCAAATCTGCATGTGTGTCTGTTTGCATATAAAGACTTCACTGGCACATACACAGAATGATTAAGAGCTGATTTTCCAAGAATTAGACACAGAGTAAAACAACCTTTCTTCCCAATGCAGACAAATCTTCTGCATTCCAGAACATGTCTCACTGTACAACAGGATCTGATGCTGTGATCCATAATACTTCTGTATTATTTCTACCCCTCAAAGGCCTAAGATTCAGCTTTAAAAGTATTTCTAACTCAATATTGCCTAGCTGTGGTTTAAAAGTGGAACAGGATTGTTCTACCAGACCTTGCACTGCACAGAAGGGAACCACAAAAAGGCTGCCAGAGCCCTCATGTTGGAACAGTGTTCATAAAGTGACTCGAAAGGCTAGGGCAGCTAGAACATTTCAATCCTCTACATTTCTTTCCTTTTTCTTCCTTGAGAAATTTCCACTATTCAATCCGAGTAACCTAATCATTACCTGGGGCGATATCTATGTTCTGAGCCTAATTAGTTAAAAATACAGCACTGAAATCTTCCCAAGCCTGCAATTAAGACACCATATTAATCTTGGTCAATAGCTTTATTCTATTTGTTTTTCAGCTCAGAATAAAGATAAAGTGATGGATGGTAACCCTGAAATCTAATCCTCTTCCATCCCAGAGGCTCTAGTCTAAGGAAATGAGGTGGCACACTGCCCCTTGCCATCCTGCCATGTTTCACCCCTGACCTAGAGCAATCAGCTCCAAGAGAGTGCTGATTAGCAACTATGCTCTTTGGTCCTCATCAGTTCTTACTAACAGAAGTTAGTAACAAATTACATGTATAGGTAACCCCAGCAGCTGAATAGAAAATATCTCTTGTTTTGACAGAGATTTATAAAAGCAATTTACAAACCATGGCCACAAAATAGTGATGCAAACCTTAGGGGCTCGATATCTTCATGATGTTCAGTCATTTATAACCTATGGAGTAGAAGGTAAAAACCCATCCATAATGGTGGGCAGTTGGCATAAGTTTTAAAAGCAGGTCTGATTTTTAAATGAAGCTTGAAGTAATGAACCTCTTACTGTTTTGGTTTTTTTTGTTTTGGTTTTTGTTTTTAAGGTAAAAGAAAAGGTTTAAGGCTTGTGCCACAAACACACAAACAGAGATTTTTTGCTACTTTGCAGAGTCATCTTGAGATCAGAGCTCTGTTGTTTTCTTGCTAGACCTTAAATTAATCATTGCTTTTGGGAAGTCTAAATCACCCTGCTGATGAGGAAGAACTGGTAGAGTGTGGAGAGAAGGCTCTGCACCTTTACCTGCACGTGCTCTGACTGCCATTCCTCTCCCACTCTGGCGCTCCCTCCCGTTCAAGGGGACGTGGATATGAGCTCTGCCTGCTTTAAACAGATGCAGCACTGCTGCAGTCCCCATGGCTGACAGCTACTCCGAGGGCTTTGATGAGCTCTGTGTTTAAGTGTGCCAGGCCCAGGTGACAAAATACTCCATTCTGAATGCAAATCATGTCCAGAAGTTAACTAGCAAGGGCACCAGCTGCAAAATTCGACCACTCTTGAGTGCAGTGACTTGGATCGTTCTCACCCTGCTCTTTTATTCACCCTTTATTAATTGATTAAGTGGTGAAATCCAAAATAATATAATTCAACATTTGTAATTCAGTATAGTTAAACTGACTTTCAGCTGTATTCCAATTATTTCCACTTTCATATTACAGCAATGACAGCCTATTAGAATACCACAAAAAAAAAAAAAAAAAAAAAAAAAAAAAAAAAAAAAAAAAGGGAAATTGAAATTAAAAAAGCTCAGGAGGGCTTACAGAGTTGTCTTTCACCAGAAGAGCACAGCACTGGATTCCTGCCAACAACATTTTATGTGGATTCCAGGCAACAGAATCAGCCCTGCAAAAATGGAGAAAGGGAGGTAAAAATTGCATCTACAATCATGGGTGCTTAAGAATCAAAAAAGACCAAACACAAGCAGACAAATCAGATTTCCCATACACCCACCCCCACCACAGGTTCAGAAATGTCTCCAATTATTTTTAAAAATGCATCACTGATGGAAGCCAACAGGCCACGTAACTTCCACCTCAACCCCTAGTAAGTGAGCCCATGGACTAAATTGACTTACCTGTGGATACCATGAAGAAGTCTGCGATGCTTCCTTGATATCAAAGCTGAGCCACCCCAAGAAGCCTGTTGGAACATTTATAGAGCCAACAAAATATTATTTGTACAAAGTTATTTCAATAATAATTCAACTAATAATTTCTAAAGATGTCTTATCTCATTTAAAACTTAGTTTACTACATAGTCAGTGGGCTAAATTCTGCCCTGAGTTTCATCTCCTGAAATAAAGCCTGGGGCTGTGCCTGAAATAGAGGAGGTTGTGGTCTGTTCCACTACATGAGCCACAAACCAGAGTGGCCCTTCTGTGTATGCAAGGGCAATGAACTGAAATGTCCTTGCACACCCAGACTCATTCCTGATACCAAACAGTGTTGCTTCCTTTTCCCCCAGCCTTAAACTACCAGTGACAGCAGAAGGCCTCACTTTGCACATCTTCTTCCTGCTAGCCAATTCCTTTCTGAGAATTCCACAGGGGAAACAGTGGACGGTGATAATCTCTGGCAATTGCAAAGGTCAGGCTCAGGTTTTGAACAGATATGAAAAGCAAAGTCTGTCAGTGGGAAACTGCATCATTTCTGTCACCAGAAACCCAGCTGACCTTGAAACCCTCAGCTCACCTAAGAACTCAGTGTGTGCTCTAAGAGTCACTTAGACCTTCTCTGTGGTGAGGAGCTCTCCACTGAAACTCCTTATTTAGTTACATCTACTCTAGACACCCATCTTTGGGTGACACCTTTGGCAGATGTGTCTCTCCAGGGACTAGAGAAGGAAGCCGTACAACAAGTCTTTTATTATGCAAGTTTAATTTCTGGACAACTTGAACCAGGGAGTGTGATTCCTTTTCATGAATTCTGCAAGGATCGTCAGGTGCTTTGAACCTTCAGCTCCCAAACAACAACATTTATCCAGTGGAAAGCTGAGGAGATCATGCAAACACTGGACATGTCATACAGTGCGTTTGAGAAGTTACTGCTAAATAAATAAATATATAAAATGAGTTTCAATATTCATGCAGGCAGAATGCACTTAAGCCAGGTACCTGTGAAGCAAGAAAAGCTCTTCAGAGACACACAGAAGACATCAGTCCACAAAACATTTGGACTCCGTTTATTTTTTTAAAAAAAAATTGTAAAGCAAAAGAAAACCAATGATGTAAAGATTCCTGACCTAAGCATAGAAAATATATGCTTGTTTGGTCTTTGTCCTTTTTTAGTTTCCTTGAAATAAAAATATGTGACAGCTGATTTATGAACTTAACATCAGAACTTGCTTCACAGTCCATACAGTAGGAATGAGATCTGCTATCTCTGGGAGACTGGCAAAGGCTCACAAGGGAGATGAAAGTTATTAACTTGCCTTAAAAAGTCATTCTCATTAATGCCACACATTAATAGATCATATCATATTTTACATTGTCATGCTCACAACATCCTCGCTGAGACAAGGGCTGCTGCACAAACCACAGGTGAGACCTGAGGCAGGAAATTTTTTTGCCTCAAGCGTTATGGTAATCCTGCAGAACCATGACTTGCAACTATTTTCCTCCAGCAAGTCCAAATTTGCTGTTTTAGGGGATGACAATCAAGCTGAACTTTCTATTCAGAGACAAAATTTACTCCTCTCATTCTATGATTCAATAAAGTCAAAACAGTCACTAAGTTATTTTCTGGTTTTCAGAATTTCTAAACAGCCCACTGAAATAGAATAATTTTTTACAAAATTTGCATCCAAAATTTCTGTGTTTGTAAAAGTTGACATTCTCACTCTGTTTGTGGATAACAGGTCTTGAAAGGCATTTGAGAGGTCATCTCCGTAGTGTGTCACCCTCAAAGGCAAGATTAGCCATACTCCTCTCATTTGTCTCAACCACATATTTTCTAGAGGTTATTAATCAATGAATCAATTACACCTGTAATTAGCATTGAAGTGAAAAATAAAATGCAGAGAGAGACCAGCAATTGCTGTCTCCACAGAATTATTTACCCTACTTTCTGCCTTTTTTTAAAGAACTACTACTGGAGATCTGGATGAGAGAAATCATATTACTCTGCCTGAACCACAGCAATACAAGATGAATTTGTTACCCATGTTTCTTTGCCCAATTCAAAGAGCAAGTGCTTAAGGATCCAGGAGAAGAGAAAAATAAAAAGAAAAAGAAAACAAAAAACAACCAAACAATCACAAAAATAACCAAAACAAAAACCAAAGCACAATGAATGAGAAGGCATTTAAGTAGACTGAGAATCACTGGCTTTGTTTTTAAGGGCCTCTTTAATGATGGAGGCTGCACAACTTAACCACTTAATTTGTGTGTAACAGGAATAACACCATTTTAATTTAATGTGTCAGTCCTAAACAATGCTACCATTTGTCATACCTCCAGTGGTCTGGGCAACCGATTAGTCCTTTCCATTCCAGCAGCTCCTTTTAAAGCTTCTGTAGACTGTTATGTACTGTTTATTTGTCTTTTCTAGTTTAAATAACATCGGTGTTTTCCATCTTTCCTCATTGCCATAATTTCTAGATATGATTCTGTTTATCTACATTGCTTTCCCATTTTCTAATCTTTCTCCTGTAGGACCTTATTGAACTGCATCTTTTCATTTGGACAAAATTTAGATAAAGCAGATGGCGTGTGAAGCAGAAAGAAAGAATCATTTTATTTACTTCCTTTATTCAATTCTGAAAGGTATTTAACTCTATTTGAAAATATCACTGATTTGTGAACTAGAAAAAGATCTGGGCCAACAATCCCCAGCCTGTGTGTACTTGATTACTGCAGCTTAAAATTCTATCTTTATTGAACTGCAGCCTAGTTTTTCCACTTTTTTCCTCCAAATTGTCAAAATCCCTTTGATTTCTAATCCTGTCCTCCCACTGCCTTTTTCAGAAGTCTTACGTCATTTTCAAATTTGTCAGCATATTCTTTTTCATCCAAGCTATTTAATGAAAATACCAGATAATTTCTACCCTAAGGTAGGCCCTTGAGGAATCCTGCTCAAAATTTTTTCCCCTTTCAGCCAACCAGTGGTAACTGTTCTGTGGGAATGGTTTTTAGGCAGGTTTTCACTCACTACCAGATTTCTCTGGCTTTTTCATGAGATATTGCAAAGACACAGTAAAGTTGATTGCTTCTACTCCATCCACATGGATGAGGAGAAGGAGGGCAGATTGATAAACTAGGATAGCACACACTTTAAGACAAATCTAGCTGAGACCAATGCAGGGTAAGTGAAAACATGACTGTTATCAACCTGTGTCCCACACCATGTAATTGGTAACAAGGTATGAGAAAATCACTGTTCCATATGCAACAAATCATTTACAGCTGAATGATGGGAATCACAGCGTGCACTACCTGATTAAGCTAATTACCTAAGCATGGGCTAATAGGTCAAGCCTGATTTTCTCTACTGACCTAACAGGAGGAAAAACAAAAAGCAGTCAAAGCCAGGACCACAAGGGAAGGAATACTCATACCCAGCATTTAAAGCTACGTGAAGACAATGCATGACATACACAAATCCTGGAGGGCATATTGATGATACAAAACAAGTTATTAAGAAAGGCATCAGAGATTCAGTTTAAAATACAATAAGCAACTGGAATGCTGTAATGTGAACAAAATAAGCTTAGTATAGCCTCTGCTCTTAGGCTTGACTGAACAGCTTGACTGCTAGGGCAGTTTGGACCTACTGGTATTATCTTCTTAAAACATTTTCCTTAACTTGCTTTTCCTCTCCAGCTTGCCTTCATGTCAGAGCTTATCTACTATTTCTGACTTTATTGAAATTTATCTTCCTGAAGCTTACCGAATTTCTGTTGACATTCTCGCTTTTGACCTTCCTAAGAATCACAAGCTTTATCATTTCATATTTAATGAAAAGAGTCTCCCTAAGGGGAACACATCAATTTTTGGGATCAGAAAATATTCTGAAATGAGATAAATCAGTGTAAATCTGGAAACATCACCACTGACATTCATATAAGATATTCTTAGCTTGTGAGAGCACTTACAGTAGATAGTCCTGAAGGCTACCAATGATATATGGAAAGTCCTAAATTAGACAGAACTTTACCTGAGTTTTACTCTTTGTTTTAATTGTACTGTACCTTTTTTCCTTCAAAGTTACAGCAGGCCTGAACAGCAGTACACACTTGTTGGACTGCATAATAGAAGCCAGGCTTTTCAGCAGACTGAAGATTCTCAAAGATTTCAAAAATACTACATTCCATCCTATAGTGATAGGAGGTATGCTTGCTTAAAAAAAATAATAAAAAAAAATAAAAAATCTACTCTTCTTTGTGTTTCTTATAGTCTTTCTGAATGGCAGAGACCCAGTCTCACTGTACATGAGTAATTCAGTAAACCTGTTTCTAGTGGTGCTGTTAAGAGTAAAAATGTTGCACTACTAAATGTCTGCTCATTTTACCACAGCACACTTGTATATACATGTGTGCCTGGTGTCACTTCTGTGGAAAGCTTCCAGTCTTTCCCTATATCCTGTTCTCTTATAAATGCAGCTAGAAACTTTTAATGAAAAAACAGAGAAATAGCCATTCACCCAACCCTTCATATAGTGTGAAAGATGGAGAAAATACTGATAGAACTTCTCAGAACCACTGAGAGGCTCATAAAATTAATCACATCTGAAGAGAACAATTGATCTTCCAGACTGTAAACCAAATTTACTAATGGACACTTGTCCTTCTACTGAGAAACAGTTGACATCTGACAATGGCCATCATTTCAAAGCAGAAAATAACTTAAAGGTATTCCTGGAAATTTTTACCTTTGTTTAAGATGAGGCAAAATTGGAAGAATAAAGTTAGCTCTTTTCAAAACACTAACAACTGGCTGTGGTTCAGAATAGGACCCAGGCTCATCCTACCACACTTTAGTTCAGCTACAAGGAGATTACTCACTGTTCTCCTACAGCCACTGGAGATGGCTCCAGCCATGTCTACTTGACTCACCTAAGGTCCAACACAGATTCCAACTACATTTCTCTTTCCTCCAGCTATATGCAGACACACAAGGGAGTTGTGTAACGAGAATGCTGCACTTCTGCTGAAAATCTCATGAGTCCTTCTCAGCAGCACACAACCATGAGGAGGCTTGGCAGACATTTTAAATATTAGGCCTAAATTCTGTATTTTTGTCTCCAAGACTGAAAGAAAACTCTTTTGATTCACACATACAGTGACTTTATTTATTAATGTCTGTGAGACATTTATTTGAAACATGCATCACTGCCTACTTGATCTTTCTTTAGATACTCAACGTTACACAAGCATTTCAGAAATTTAGAGCAGGTCTGGAAATCTCCACAAATATTGCTCCAGATTCTCTTATTCCTCCATGACTTTTTATCTATCTGTTCTGGATTTGTGGCATTGCAATTATAATCGTAGAAAATATGAAGTGGCCTATCTTTAGAAAAATACATTTACAGCTAACTCTCGCAAGCCATGAAAAGACACAGTGATTATTCCAAAAAGATTCATAAATGGATTTTAATATCCAAACCTAAAATTACAATTTTTTTTTAAAAAAGAAAAAAATCTGAACTGTTTAGGAAAATGTAAGGGAATATACAAAAATTTCAAATCTGTAAATATGACACAGAATAATTTATGACAGAAGCATACCTTTATTTTAACCTGTATGAACCTCTGACCACAATTATAATGTGTCTATTCCCTAACAAAACATGGGAGGAATTCTTAAATTAAACTTATGTTTGTATATATTTACTCTAGAAGCATTTTTAGGAGGTAGCAAGAAGAAATTGATTATAAAATAATTTTGAAATATAACCTGGCAATAACAAAATGGCTTTGGCTGCTTGTCTGAACCAAATTATTTTCTGTTTTGCAGCATATGTAAAATAGTCAAATCAGAACATATTCCTGGTCCCTATGCAAGGAGAAAGAAATGGTATTAGAGCCCAGCTTCTAAAAAGAAATATCAACAGTCAAATAGCAATTATAAAAAAGCAGTGCTAAACAAAACCACACGGTATACAAACTCACATCAACATGAAGCCAGAGGCCATGCTTTTCACAGATATCAGCAATTTTATCCAGAGGATCAAATGCTCCCAGAACAGTTGTGCCTGCTGTAGCACAGACAAGAAATGGTGCTGACCCCTGCAATAGGATTCAAAACAAAAAAGAAATTATCATTTGTACTGCTCATCTCTTCCACGTATACTTGCAGAGCTAAAGTATAAAAAGATCTAGGAATGTAGGACAGAGGTGTTGCAATCTACATTTTAGTTTCACAGCAGAAGGTACTGCATTTAATAGTGCTGAATCTCTTTCATTTCTTTGCATTTAAAAAATAAAATAAAAAAAATTTAAAAAAGGCATTTTCCATTTCTAGTTAACACTATCCCAGGGCAGACTTCTGAAGCTTCAGACTGTTTTGACAGATGCTAGTTCTGTCAAAATCAAAACATACCAGATATCTGACATCTCTCTTTATACACTGATTTTCAATTATCAGTCTTTCACATCCCACTACCATATTTGCTGTCATTCTGACTGATAAAACAAAGCTATTAGCTCAGCCAGCAGACTACCCATGCAAGGAAAGGGCTCATCCCCTTTGGGTTCCCACCTGCACTGTCCCTACAACACCCCTGTTCTCTGCCTGGTGAAGAGGAAGCTTCAGCTAGGGTACGTGATTTGCCTTCAGCCACATCGGTACATACCATGACAGAGCCACCTCTGCCTGATCCCACACCTGACCTACAGCTCTGTGCTATTCCCTTGCTCCCACTCCTGCCTAGGAAAGAAGAAGGGCTGTAGATGGTAACTGAATGTTAGGAGAGGAAATCTCAGACGGTGTTGAGGTCAGTCAGGTGGGATAAGGAAAGCTTTTGTCAGGTTGCGATCTCAGACAACCACTGACAGCAGTCCATCTTTGCTTCCCTTCAGCTGATAGCAGACCAGCTCATGTACCCTTGCAGATCTCTGTGTTGGGTCTACATAGGAGCAGAAACTGCAACAATGAGAAGAATTGGTGGCGTCTGTAACAACTCCATGAAACTGAGGGTGTTGGCTGGAGCAATGACTGTGCAGTCTCACTTGCTGGTAAATGCACGCTGAAAGAACTGCTCTGCATGGTGCAGCATCTGGCCTACAGAATGGTAATGCTCTTACTGAAGAGGCACTAAAGTTGTTATTAAACTGTACAAGCTGGGATCACTGAAGTTCATTTTCAGGGAATGAGATCTCCCAGATGATGTAAGTGTGTCTGCAGAGGTAACTCAATGGAGCTTTAGTGAAATCAGACATCAGCTGAAAAATCAAACTCCACACAAGTCTTCCATTTATCTTCACTTTGCTGAAATCTGATCTCTTTTTGTTTTTGTTTTTTAAAGTGTTGCTACCTTAAGCACCTACAGAGACAGACAGGCTTAATTCACGTTTACACTCTGACAGTTTTATACTTCTTTACAGTGTAGAGGACTGTTAGACTGGTACATAATTATGATTTATTTGTGTTTTAGGTTTTCTTTAAAAATGGCTAAAGCAGTGAAAAGTTGAACTGGAATGAATTTAAATTAACCCCATATATTCACAAAGACTTACCAGTCTTCAATTCATTTCTTTGTCATTTTTTCTGAGTACAAGCTACCACCATAGTTAATCAAATTTACAAATCAGCCTGAAGCTTGAGTACAGAACACTTGCAAGTGAGGCAAAGATGTATCTAATGCACCCATTTTCTCTTAGTGTTCCAAGCAATTTTCTCCCACAGCTACATCAGAGTCAAAGGTTCTTAAGCAACCAATTTGTAGCACAACTGAATACAGGGACAAGTCTCAGATCTCTACAAATGCCAATAATTACTACCATTACACTTTTCCCATAAAGAAGGCAATTAAGTTTTTATTACTCCTGACAATATAGTTAAACTAATCTTCCTGCCTAAATTCTCTAAAAAGAGAAGACTCTTGCCATTCATATACAGTGATCATTTTGTGCTTCAATCACTAGCAAATACATCCTCTGTTGTCTAGAGTCATTAGAATATTTACTGTAATTCACTGAAGTGTCCTTCTGTAAAAGTTGTAAGGTAGCACTTCAACAAGGACAGACACACTGAAGCTCTGATGAAATCCAAACTTTCCAATACACCTATAACTCCCTTTAAAATGCAAGTGAAATCATGTTTTCCAGTAAGCAGAGCATTTTAATATAGAACATTTGTTTTTAAATTGCAAAGTACCTTACTGGGGTTGATCTTTTTAAAGAAATCTTAAATGCCAGAAGATTTCTTTCAAATGACCATTACACATATTGTTAAAAGAACAAACAAGAACACTGTTTTTGCAAAAGCAAAAGAGATGATTCTCCTGCAAGCCTGCTTCCTCTTGCTTTGTGTTATTTCAGCCCTTTTTTCACCACAGCTTGCTCAAATGAATAAAGTACAAGTTGTCTTCCTCAGGAAATGCAAAGTATAGGAAGAGGCAAGAAAGTTTGCTGGGTCACTAGGGCCCCCATGTATCAGTAGCTATGCTATCCAGAATGAAACTCAAATAAGAGATGGCTGTTTGGCAGAAAATGTATCCAAATCAGAACTTACTGAAAGCTGCTGTGGCCATGCCAGTGCAGGACCAGACAGGACTGCCATGGCTTTTCTCTAAAAAGGTAGATTTTTCTATCTACAAAGGTAGATTTCCCAAGAGAGGATTCCATGGAAGGTATCATTCATGCCTTGGACATTGCACTAGTTGCTTTGTATTCACTCATCATGGACTAAAGGCTTAGCTCTGAATTCTACTGCTCTGATGCACAAACTGGAAGTGAGAAGTAGGGTGAGCTAACCAAGCCAAAAGAAGATTCTCTTGGAAGACACATTCAGTCCTTCAAGCTCTCTAAAATAAATTATGTTACTATAGGTAAGGGCTGTCTTACAGATTGTGGGAATGTATTATGTTAATGTTGTCCAAATACACACATCAGTGCCTTTCCAAAGTCTTGCATTTGACTTTCTACTTGGCAAAGTCCCTAAGGGAAAAGAAGCACACCTCTGCACTCTTGCTAGAATAATAGAAAGGATGGAATTTAGCATTTGAAGCTTGTAAGATAGTTTTAGAGACTGAGCCACATGTTACAGTTCTTGCTCAGTGCAGAGGCAATAGAGCAATAGCTGCTGTAATTAACTGAAAAACCGTTTTAGGAAAACATACTGCATCCATTTTAAAAAGGATCAAGGGCAAAAGAAATCCTATAAGAAATGTGCTAAGTACTTCAGAGCAGCATTGTACTTGAGACTTTCATTAGCAGTAAACACCCTGTGGAATTTTCCTCCCTTCTAAGAGTGTGGAACCCATAAGCCTTGGCTTGTTCCACAAGTTTGTGGCAAACAGATTGCACCTGTAAGAAAGACACTGTTATATCAACTACCCTGTTTTTAAGATTTTGGTCACTCTTAGTTTTCCTTTCTTTCACTCAGACACAAGCACACGGTCTGCATACACTCCTCTCTCCTTCACGCTCTCTCTCCCCCTCTCACCTCTTTCCTGGCCCGCTGGACTTGTTTCTCCAGTTCCTCAGGTATCATCTTACCTCTAAGGGACACAGATTTAAAACTTTTTCAGTTACATTCAAATAGGTTAGTTATGTACAGCACTACTGCATTTTAAAAAGGCTCAGAGATCAGAGTCATGGCTTTTGCTTTCTTACCTTTCATCTGTTTTGATAAAGTACACATTCTCTGTGCCAATACCGAGGAAGGAGGCTGCCTTCTTCATGGAGTAATGGCACTGTCAGTGAGAGAGGCACAGAAAAAAAGCACACACACAATTAAACAAAAGAAACAAATTCCTTACAGTGACAGGTACAACAGCACCTAACAGCCATGACAACAGCTTATTCTAACACAAAAGGGCAAACTGATAAGGTATATATCACAAAGCCCATCTTGTACTTAACACACACAGAAAACTGGGGGAAATAAGACCAAAAAAATATTGTGCTCAAAATTTAAAAGGCAAGCTTAAGAAAAAAAAATTAGAACCTCTATTTCATAAATTTTTTCTTAGAGCTAGCTCTGCATTAGAATGAAAAGTAGAAGCTTTGAAGTGCCATCAGGGAAGAATTACGAATTCTTTCAAAATGTTTTAATAGAACTGTGTCAAAAGTATCAATGAATGTAAGAGTTAGGAAATGCACAAGGAAAAGGGTATAAAGGCTGTTTAGCTCAACAGCCTGGAAGCAATTAATTACGTCTGTAAGTCCAAAAGCACCACTCCTTGGAAACTGGACCCTCAGTCAGGATGTATATTTGAAGCCTCTACTTTATGCTTGTAACAATTCTGTATGCTTTCTCTAATCCGTAGCTGGTGACCACTGCCAGAGACGGGATGCTCCAGAGACAGGATACTCTCCTAAACTGACCCATGGCCAACCCATGCTCACAGGATCCAGGAGCTCAAGTCTCAAGACCTACCAAAGCTTTAGATCTGGTAAAATGGGGATTTGCAAGGCTTTCAATGTCCTATCTCTGCAAAAAGAGCTGGAGTTCATGATGGTGTGAAGACAGTTCACATGAATGTAAACCTTAGAAATTACTGTGAAAGCAAGCAGACCTTAGACAGGACTCAGACTTTACTGTGAATTTTGCAAAAGGTTCCAGTGTGGACCAGTTTCCATTTTTCATAAAATGAAGTTACTATTTTAGCAAAGAGTTTTAGCTGGGGCACATCACAGAGACGTATCTGAATGAGTACACAGACACATGCAGCCCACTTCACACCTTCCACTGAATAAAGGGCATCAGTCTATGAAGCCTGTGAAGTGAGTGTAAAAGAGGATTTAAAAAATGGGTGTTTATTTAATCAGAATGTGGTAAAATGACTAAGGTGAGAATGCTATTCAAACCCACAGACAACTATACACTTTTTACAAACTTTTTTAATTTCAACAAATATTAATGGTTTATCTAACTATATTTCTGACATTTGTTTTTATAAGGACCTGCTCTACAGTGCATACTGTTATTCTAGCACAAGAATACTACTTTGTCTTATTCCAGAACAAGAGTACACTGATCTTTCCTTAATTTGTCTTCAAGATTAGCCTGGGAATTCAAAATACAGTAACCTTCTTGATCTGAAGATATTTAGACATCAAAACTGCCCACTTATAGCAGTGGAGTCACTTTTGAGAGTACACCACATCCCGTAGGACTAGACAGTTACCAGAACCAAGACCATCCAACCCTTGGATTATCACTACCCTTCACATAAAAATAAAATTGTCTCTTTTACACATTATTACTGAAGGGTTAAAATAACACATACACCAGCAAATGCAAAGATGTCTAGAATTGTTACTTTCCACACAGGAGGTGAAGCCAGGTGGTTAATTAATTCAATTTTCTTCCTGAGAGTTCACAAAAACGCAGTTACTGCAGAACATAATTATGAAAAATGTACAACATTTTAATGTGTGGGCATGAATATATTAAGGGTATTAAAGCTTGTCACGCTTATTTTGATGAGATGGATGATCTCAGAGGGCTCTTTTTCTTTTTGACAAAGAGGTTTCCCCCACCATCACCCACTTTTTAAACAAAGGCATACAAAGACATTACCTGGTGCTACTGAGTAGTTTCAAGAAAAATTAATTTGTAATATGACACATCTGCAAGGCCTTTAGGGCTCAGTCATTTAGACTGTTACAAGAATAATAACATACATAGGTGGATAATTAGTCTTACATTACATCAAATTACATCAATAAAGGTAATAATGATTGTAAGTGGCTGTATGTTGTTCAGCAGAAGTTTGGAGATGTTTTTGACTGACTAGTGAATCACTTAAAATAGAAGTTGCCTCCATCACTGATTTCTAGCCATTAATTTCAAATGAAAGGTATGAATCACCAAGAGTAATTAGATTGCTACAAACTGAGAAAGCAGCAGACCTGCAAATACAATATACTAGTAAGCAGACAATCAAATTTCTTATCATTTACAAAAATTAAATTATATATTTTATTATAAACAATGGTATGAGAGACTGGAAGAAAGACAAAAGAGGCTTGAGTACCTGAGAGATTATATCAAAAAGCAGAGGAAAAGAGAAGAACAGAGGAAATACAAAAACAAACAGTCTGCAAGATACATTATTTTTTCCTCCAGAAGTACTTCTGTACTTCTTGGAAAATTCTGTCCTTCAGTAAGACAGAAAAGAACAAGACTCATAATACTACACAGACTTGGAATAGTCTTCCTTTGATAAAAAAAAGAGTTTCAGTTATATTAATTGAAAACATGTAAGGATTTCTTTTTCCCTCTTCATTACTAGAAGCCATTATGTTAAATTGTATTGCATCATTTTAAGAAAAAAATGTACCAAAGAACATGTAGCAGCTACAGCCACAAGAGTGCCAACTAATTCACTTTACATAATTCCCTTTCCAAAAAAGGAGAAAAAAACATCCAGATTAAAAGTGTTATCTTAGATACTGTGAGTTGAGATTACTCTTGCCATGTATTTCACAGTTTATTTTGTTTGGACAATTTATTAAATCTGTAGCCATTTGTAGTAAGAAATTACCATCTTTGAGCACAAGATTAAATTGGAACATTGTTGCATTTAAGATGTGCTGTTGTAGTATTTTACCTATATCTAGATGTAGTTTTCATTTCCTAATCTTGTTTGCAAAGACAAGGTACTTTCTAACTGTGCTCATTAAAACAGAAGATAAATTCGTATTTTCTTGATTTTAAAAGGTTTCCTAGAAACATAATTGCATAAAGCAATTACATTATTATGAGATTGTTTTATTACTCATTTTTGTCTGCTGTAATTTCAACAGGGGACAACATGATAACTTAATGTTGTGTTCTCTCACTTTATTACTTTCATGATCAAGTTGCACTGGGGAGGAATTTAGTTTCATTTCATCTAAAAAATTTTCTCATATCAGCATGTACATTTCAACTGTTTACACATCTTCTTCTACCTTACTTAACTCAAACTTACCAGATTTCTACACTTCAGATCAATGTAACACATACTTCTGCCAGAACAAAGATTAGATGGGACCTCAAATAGCAAAAGGGAATAAAAAGGTGGGCTGATATCTATAACTAGAACTGTATTTATCTCCTACAGAGCCACAAATCATGCCTTCAGAAAGTGGGATATAACAATTACTCTTCTGCAGCTACTGTCTCAAGAGGAATCACTATGTAGCAGCAAAACCAGTGTTCAGTGTGTATCACCAATTTTAAATATCTAAGCATTTACTTGCAGGAACAAGGAGCCTTTTCATTCCTGAAGGCCAAGCAGAATACATGAGGACCTTGGGCAGGTCATGCATTAAATAGACATCTTTATGTTATCCAAGAACATACAAAAAATACATAGTCCCAGATCACATAAGTGATTGACAGTCTGTGCATTCCCCTGCTCTGCAGCAAGGCAACCCTTTCAACCTGACAAGTGCCAAACTGAAACTTAAAAACTTAGCAAATCAAGGCAAAAAAATCAGCCTCATGGTTTCTCCATGCCAATGCTCTTGCCTGATTCTTGATGAAGATAAACCCAGGTTGTTAACTTCTCCAAGTTTTGTTTTACTTTTTGTTTGTTTATTTTGTTGGGGGGGTGGGGGTTGACAGTTTGCTTTTCCAGGTACCTCTTCAGTTAAAACAAAATCAACCAAAAATATCCAACAAAAACTAAGGATGTTTGGATGAGGGGATTGAGTGTAACCTCAGGAAGCTCACAGATGACACTAAGCTAGGTGGGAGATTGATCTGCTGGAGGGTAGGAAGGATTTGCAGAGGAACCTGAACAGGCAGGATTGATGTGCCAGGCCAAGGTTGTGACATTCAACAAGTCAAAGTGCCCACTCCTGCACTTGGGTCACAACAACCCCATGCAGCACTACAGGCTGGGGAAGACTTGCTGGGAAGTGTGGATGCTAAATGCGAAAATCACACAGGGAACACAGAGCCTGTGTCAAACTAAGTCACACAAGCTTCTCACTCTGGCCTGAGAAAGCATAAGGAAGAATCCAAACAATTCTTGGAGAAAGACAACAATATTTGCAGGTGTTGTTTAGGATCCTTATTGTTTCCTTGTAGGAAACAGTGAAGGGGTGGTGTTCCACTTGACCAATGATAGTGATGTGTAAGCTCAATGACCAATGAGATTTTTACCTCTCGGACCTGTCCATAAATGACGATCAAAGATAATAAACTTAGCTCTCTTGGATAACACAGCTTCTCACTGTTCCTAATGTAGTGCGACAGCCCAGTGGACAAGGACCTGGGGGTGCTGCTTGACATCCAGCTGAACATGAGCCAGCAGTGCCCAGGTGGCCAAGAAAGCCAATGGCATCGTGGCCTGTATCAGCAATTGTGCGGCCAGCAGGACCAGGGCAGGGACTATCCCTGTGTGCTTGGCACTGGTGAGGCCACACCTCAAATCCTGTGCTCAGTTTTGGGTCCCTCACTGCAGGAAAGACATTGAGGGGCTGGATTGGGTCCAGAAAGGGCAATGGAGCTGGTGAAGGATCTGGACAGTGAAACCTATGAGGAGTGAGTGAGGAAGCTGGGGTGTTCAGTCCAGAGAAAAGGAGGCTCAGAGGGGACTGACCTTATTGCTCTCTGCAGCTGCCTGAAAGGAGGGTGTAGCCAGGTGGGAGTCAGGCTCTTCTCCCAGGCAGCCACTAACAGGATGAGAGGACATAGCCTCAAGCTATGCCAGAGGAGGTTCAAGCTGGACAATAAGAATTTTGTCACAGGAAAGATTAAACATTGGAAGTTTGCCCAGGGAGGTGGTGGAGTCACCACCCCTGGAGGTGCTCAAGAAACAACCGGACATGGCATTTTGTGTCATGGTCTTGTTGACAAGGTGGGAATCAGTCAAAGGTTGAACCTGATGACCTTAAAGGTTTTGCCCAGCCTAAATGATTCCTCAGTTCTGTGATTCAAAGGTGCAAAATGTTAACTAAGACTCAAAACAAAAACAATAACAAAACCCCTAAGATTGTATGACACCAGTACTTCTGTATTTGTCTCAAGTGTGGACTACTGTTTACATATATTCTCAATATGGCATATCTCAACAAAAGTTTCCAAAAGGTCATGTAGTTGGACATGTGGATCTAAAATAACTATAAATGAATATGCCCATTTCCTCCCTCATAACACTGAATAAACACTAATGATCTTAGAAAATAGCCACATTATCTAGCTATTAAAAGCATAAAAAAGCATATTAAAAGTAATAAATGATTATTGAGTACTAAAGACTACATAGTTGTGTGAAGCAGACAAAGTATTAGAGATCAAAAGCATGGCCTTACATATAATTTACCTATTTATTTTTTCTGGTCATCTCTATGTTTTATGGTTTTGGTCTTCATTATGAAGCAAAGACATAAAAATGAATTTATTCTGGCAGCCAATTAAAATTTCTTTTGACATGAAATTAAATATTTGCTTATTTCAGAATAAGAAAATATGTTATAGTTAAACCATGCAATAAAATAAAATGTTACTTCATGACAAAAATTTAATGAGCATCACTTCAAAAGCACTTATGGAACTTGCTTCAAACTCATTTTTTCCTCCTTAAGTATTTTGAAGATATAACATGATTAAGTATGAATTGGCATGTCATTTCATACACAAACTATTCAGGACACAAAAAAAGAAAATATATTTTGTAGGGCAAAAAAACAATCAATCCACCTTTATTTAGGGCATGTGGGCTCAGTTCCAAAAGACATTCATTATCTTGCAAAACTCACACAATGTCTTCATCCCTAAGGCTTCTCCAAAATAAGCCTTTCTTATTTACACTACAAACTGTTTGGAGCATAAACGTCTAAGCTAAAATCATTCTAGTAAGTCTACATTTTCTAATACAACAAGGTTCTGTGCAGGCTTTCACGGGGGCCTTTATATAGTAGAGTCAGAACTAATAACAACTCTTCACTACCCAAATGATAAACTCTTAAAACTGAAGGGACAGGGAAGAGAAAAATGCCTCCAAAAGCTACCTTCAGAATAAATGTTTGAATGTAGCTCAATTTCCCACAGGCATTTTGGATTAATATTATTCAAAAACTTTAAAAACTGACCACGTATTTTCAATTATTTAAAGAAAAAATGTCTAAAGGTCCAGCTTTTTTTTTTTTCTGAGAGGCATATGGTGGCTTTGACTCTGTACCACAACCATCTGTATTCAGACACAGGGCAAAATGAGAGCTGCAGAGAGCCATCACACAGGTCCACAAGTACTCAGTTCCGTACAAATTAAACATGCAGAAAAAACCCTTTGACATCTAAAACCTACCTACAGTTCCTGCTAGACTTAATGCTGTGGGAAATCAGATGCTGCAGACCTCCACAACACAGCACATGCATTCTGCTTCAGGTTTGCCCCATGTACAACCTGTTCTTATATCAGCAGTTTTCAAAGCAGGAACATCTGTGTTTGTTTTTTGAAAGCAAGAGAGCTTCTGCAGGGAAATTTACCATCAGACTTCTCCACTTAGCTCCAATATTCCACATCATACGCTGATGTCAGAATTATTGTACCAGTGCCCCATCAGATATGTAAATTATATAATTTTGCAGCTACTGGAATAAAATTCAAAAAACTTTTGTTTTTGTTTTACCTCTTCCGAAGCAAACAGAACTAATCTTGGCAGACCTGAAAGCCCCTTCTCCTTTATCTCAGGGCAAAATTTGTACCTTGCTAAGTTCATAGCATACATATTAGAAACAGAGCCACCTGCAAAAAGAGACATACAAATATTGTATTAGCCACAGGATGAGTACCTTCCCTGCATCTGAGTGCTTGACCTATTAAGGGAAAAATGAACCCCACAGGCATCCTAGTGATGCATCCATCACAGTTTATTTCCTCCCCTGAAGGCTACATACATAAAATGAACCTTGGCTTCTGCAGCAGGCATGGAAACAGAGCCTGTTTGGATGCTCTTTGGGGATATTTCCTGAGGAATAAGAGCTGCCAAATAATAATACCGCCCTTTCTGACAGAGAACACCCTGCCACACAGCACCTTTCCCTCTACAGTGAAGCAGAGCCAGCCCAGCTGCCTCCACCAAGCTCAGAGCCTTGGAGATCCCTTGGGAAAGCAGAGCTCAGAGGACCATGGGAGAAAAAGGTCTTTGGAAAAAAAAAAAAAAGATCCAAAAAACAAACATAGTGACTGGGAATGGAAAGATCTCCAAGGTGAGATCTAGACAAGTTTTACTCACTCAGGACAGGTTTTATTCACCTAGAAGGACAAAACCAAAGCAGTAAGAAAAACCTTTACATAAAACCAGAACCAAAACAAGGACAATTAATTTATCTTCTCTCAGTAGAATACTGTTTTAAGCCAGAAATCTGTCTGTAAAAGTAAGGGTTCTACCAAAAATACACATCAAACTTGATACGAAAAAAATACATACCAGTAATATATTTTTAAAAATATGGATTTTTAGCTTATTTATTTTTCTACTACTCATGTGTAGGCTAGAATTACTGACTGTTTCAGTTTGGGAGGGGGAGTTCAAACTCATGTACTCATTTAACTCCTCTTCTCACCCCCAAAATAGATATAAAAGCTTCACATCTAGCCCAATTATTTGTTATCTGAATAATCTGTGAAATATCACCATTATGCTTCATTATTTCAGTGCAGCGGGCTGAAGTACTGCCTTACAGAACATTTGAAAAACATGGTTTATCAAGCAGCTTAAGAAATACCTGTTTGGCCTGCCTTATCATAACATTTAATAAAATTATAAAGATTCAAAGGAGTTTAGATCATGTAAGCTCATGCTCCCACAGTTCATAGGCAGGATTCACAGGTCGATGCCCTCAGGCACCATGGGTTGGCATCTAGCACATAAATCAGCTCCCTGTCTGTCAGCTAAGTTGACTCTTTCCATTGAGGCTGTTGGTATTGTTAGTAAGGTCAGGAAGGGCATCAGCTACAAATAATTAATTTCAAATAATTCCATATAATTATATTTAATTTAGAAGTGTTTTCATTCATTCACTGGTCAGAATTGCTGAATTATTACTAGAAACACATAAAATAAGCCTAGATTAAATAGTTTTGTGTATCAGTACACTTTTGCATGCATTTTCAAATATTCTATGTGACTCCAATGTTCATAGAATTAATGGTATTAGACAGTTTATAATGACACAGCTTGAGGTCTGAGCTGTTCCTACCTGGGTTAAATATACCATCCCCTTCTTCCCAGCCTATGAACTCAATCATTTTCTTGATGACTGCTTCTTCCACCAACAGAAACACAGGGGATACTTCATATGTGTACCTAAAGCGACATAATAGCATCATAATTGGTATTAAAACTACAGAATTCATGGCACAGAGCATTGCTAAAAGGCTTCTTGCACCTTTGTCTAATCTATCAGCAGCTGATCACCATCAGCAGTAGGACTCTAAACTAAAAACATTATGGATCTGATCCAGTAGAGAAATTGCTTTTTTTTTTCATTTCTGGCAGCATCTCATTGACACTTCCACTCTCCAAGTAATACACCAGAGTTTGCTTTTAATGTAGGTCACATGCTTAAATGTCAGCTTTACATTTGCAAGTAAACAGTGGACAGGTAACCATTTGCATTCAACTCTCTGTAGAACGCTTCAAAGGAATGGACAACTAAGTTCAGTCTGATTAATTAATTTTTATGTACTAAGCAAGGCAAAAGTCTAGGTTTAATAGCATTGGGGAAAAAAAAAATCTCTCTTAAACCCCATCTTCAGCCAATCAGAATCAGCCTGTTTTCTTTCCCAATGTCTTGCACAGTTCCTGCCCCTTCTGTAGCACGGAAAACAGAAATCAGAAGCAAGGAAACAAAAAAAGCTGTTCTTCCACAAAACATGTTAATTCATCATCAAGAGGACAAAGAACCACACTTACACACTGGGGTTGAGTGCTTCTGTAATGAAACGAGCCACTAATGAGTAATAATCTATTCCAGCATACAGCTGATTGAAAAATCTTGGATGATCTGAAAATACAGATGAAAAGCAAGTGACGGGATATACCAGAAAAGATAATACATCACACTCCCTCTCAGCTGAATGCTGATTGTTGCAAACCACAATTGACTCCATTCTCTCAGTATTCTCTGGATTTGCTGTCCTTCCCTAAAGATAGACATTCCTTTGAAAGTAAATTTAATAAGCACTTTCAAACCTCAAAACATGTCTTGAGAAATACAAGTGGTACATAGAATAAATGTGAGTGGTTCACAAGTCTTATAAATCACAAAATAAAAGAGATTGACAATTGAGTATACAAAGTGGCTTTAAAAAGGGGTTTTAAGAGGCCGCAGTTGATGCTCAGCCAAATTTTGCTAAGCAGCAGAATGCAGGAACCAGCTGATCCCAAGCAGCTGTGCTTCTTCTCCCACCAAAGTCTCAACACAGAGAGAAAGGCACTCTAACAGCTTGGAAAAATTTGCTGCATACTTAAAATGAATGAAAAGTTAAGAGAATTTGTTTACCTGCCTTGAAACACTGAGATATAAATAATTTTGACAAAATCCTACGTTATTTCCACCTATAAAAACAACTCAGCTCAACAGTGAGGTCAGCATCTAAATTTTAATCCATAGCACAGCATTTTTACATGCAAAACCAGGTAAACAGTATACCTCCATTTATATTATATGTGGGGCTTCAATAAATGTCTATATTCCAAGACTATTTGCACAGCATATTTTTATTTACAACATCCTTTCTAAGGTGACATAGTGTAACAAATTATAATCTAAAGTCAATTTGCAAAAGTAAGATAAACAGAACATCTTCCAGTAACTCAGTAATTATATCTGCATATTATTATTACTCTACCCCTGCAGATCAGTATCACTACTCTTTATGGTTTTCAAAGGTATAAGTTCCCTCTCAAAATTATTTTACAGTTTTACTCTGCAGCAACAGTGACTAAAGCAGGGAACGCAGCCCAGAAATGCACAACTAACTATATTGAATGTTCTTTCTTACTTACCAAAATACAGCCTAAGCCCTACAACATCTGAAATCCTGAGCTACTGATTCACAGTGCTGTTTCCTGAACAGATGTTGTTCATCTCTTTTCACCAAGATTGAATTACCCTGCACATGCTGCAGAAAGGTTAGCTGTAGAGAACTAATCCTGCAGAGCTGTGGCATACTGTCTCTGAAACACTGCAGGCTCTCTTCTCATGGTGTCTGGAATAGGAATTACTGCCTATCAGCAAATTAACACCCTACAAGAGTATTGCTCAAATAGAACAATAATAAGTGGAGGGTAATCATCACTAAGAACATATGCAGGCAATGATGGTGACTCCAAATCTCATCACTCAGACAGCAGGAAATCACACAAAAAGGACCTTCTCCTGCTTATTTTGCTAGACTGCTATACCATTTGTCTAGGTGACTTTCCCAGGACTTCAAAGTGACAGAATCTACTATTAATGCAAATGGCATCACGTTAATTGTTTTTTGATTAGTTTGCCATTCTTACGTATTTCAGTCAAACCGGTGGTGACCAGAATTCAATCAAACAACTGTTTGCACACTTGTATAGGCAGGAGGGAAACAAACATTCACACTCACAGTTCCCTGAAAGGTGATAGAGCTTTGTAAACATTATCTCCTCTAAGCATGCAGAGCAGCTGTGCTTAAAATCCCATTCTTACTGGTTTTGACGCTGTATTTTATAACATCACGGCAGAGCTGCAGGATCTTCTGATGACTTTCTCCGGTGTCCCTCATTTCCAGGTCAAGAATCTGCTTAAGCTTCTCAGGGGCTTGCCATTCACAGACCTAGTGATGGGGAGCAGGGCAGACACCACCAGTGAACAGCTTAGCCAGGAGCAAGAGGTTATAGAGGTACAAAGTAATCACCCCACTCAGCACTGCTTTTGCAAAACTTCCCATGGCAAGACAGAGTGCCACAGGAAAATATATCCAGTGAACTGGCCTCATGGGATGTTGGTTCTATCATGTCTCAGGCAACTCAGCCATAAACATTAGAGTGGGAAATGCTGAAAGGCAGAAGAAAGAGGCCTGCAGAGTTCTTAGCTAAAGATTTGTAATCACAGCACTTTCAGATGCTCTTCTGCCAAGGGGTGGGAGCAAGCAGTGCATGCCCAAAGGCAAGCATGGTTTATTTGCAGGACCTCTTCCCATACAGCTTTCTGCAGAACCCACAGCAGCCTTCTAATATTGCCCTTTCAAGGTGTACCACACCCACTTTCTTCCTTCCCAGTACCCCTTGGGAGCAAACAAATAGCTCAACCCCACTCCAAACATGAAAAACACTACAGCCATTTGAGATCTCAAAGAAAATGACCTTTGTACTCTGAGATAAAAAAACACCATCATTTTCTGGCAGTTATGTATGCTAATTCTGCTATTGGAAGGTTTTATAATACATTCTTTATTAATTTGTAAGGCTGTATTTTATTTTGAAGCCAAGTACAGACTAGAAGCAATTTTTAGGCTACTTAGAGTGCAATAAAATACAGCTTATAAAAAATTGATTTATTGTTCATCATCTTCACTATGAAGTCTCAACAACTCTCTATGGCTTTACCTTTTCTGTTACATCATCTGCTTTCTGGACAACTTCTTCCATTATAATCTTACAGGCCTCTTCCACAAGCTTCTCTCCTGCTTTTGAGTCCATTATTGGACCATTTAGAATGACCCCATCCACCAAAACAGCATTCTTCTTCTGGAGAATCTCCTGCTTGCAAACACCAACTGTAAGAGAAAGAACTCATCATTAAAGCAAGAATAAATAAATAATAAACTAAAAAATATTCTTTCACTTCTGGAGATTTAGTCAACTTAAGAAAAAACTCACATAGACTTTTTATCTGTACAAAAATCCTAGATTTTGGTGGAAGAACCTTTACAAAAAAAAAAAAAGAACACAACACATTACTTCAAACATAGACTGTTATTCTGTAGGCAATAATAGCCTACTTGTATTGTATCTACTGCTTTCTCTAACATACAAAAGCATGCAAGGGACCTTCCAAACACAGAGAAGAATAGAGTTCTGGCTTAGAACATGTTACAACTGTATAAATAGAAATACAGAGAAAGATAATGGGCTTTTTTCTTAGCTGAAAATGTTTCCCTCCACAAGCCATCCCTCTGCTCCCACTTTTTCATGAAATAACTCTCAGCTTTGTTTCCTGTATCTTTATGCTACTCCTTCCCACCAGCCAATCCTCTTGCTCAGAGTCTTCCACATCCTTTGCAGAGTGCTTCACTGACCCACACCCCATGAAAATAAAATCTTTCGATGTAACAGTCCTGTACTTCTTTCTGCCCTTATCCTGTTACGTGCCCTCAGCCACTAATTACAATAATCTGCTGGGCAGATGGTCTTGTTTATTCCTTGGAAAGAGATCCAGTGATGATCTCTTTCCCCTCCCTCACATTTACCCACAAGACATGCTCTCCTGATGTGTTCCATGAACACGTTTTCGCTTCCTCTTTTACGCTACCCCTGAGAGCTCATCCAAGACACTTGTAAGACACTGGCCAATAGCGGCAAGTACGTATCTCTTTCATGTATTGATTTCATACTGCAAGATCAGGACTCTGGTTTTCATCAGCATGAGGATGAAGATGAAATTGAGACATTTGGAGATATCAAGGGAATAGATATTTGAAACAGAACCGTGCTGAAAGGAGAAGCGGTAACTGCGGTAGCCAAATTATCTGGGTTACAGGCAGTATCTGTTCACTGATCCTGCTTTAGAATAACTAAGATCTATAAAGCCAGGCAGCACACTGCCACCATGGGTTGTCTTCATTTAGAGTGAGGATGGTGCAAGGCTGGGGTGTATGGAGAAAGTTCTATGCCTAAAAGAGCTTTATCTTATTGCTTTACTTTTTGCTCCACTTACAAAGTAGAAAAGACAGGTGGCTCTTTCACAGGTATAAGGAGCTGAATTTCCAGAGGACTGCCAGGCACTTCAGTCTGACACATCCATCATGCTTATCATAATTACAGCTCCTCATGCACAGGAGGACATAGAAGAACAACAACTGCTTAGAAATGTACATCACTTCAAGGTCCTTAGATTGAAAGAAACCCTACTAATCCCATGAGCTTTTATTTTCTGGTGACTCAGAGAAGCTATTCAGTTCACTTTGACTTATCGGGAGAGATTAGTCAAACAAGATAAAATTCTAACATGATATGGGACCTCACACTTCTCATAATACTTTGCCAACAAAAATGACCCCCTGCCTTGCATTTGTGAAATTACTTCTATTTTTAATCCAAATGGGCAGCATAATAAATTTTTCTGAACAGAGTAGCCTTCAGCCCATTGTTATAGGAAAGTCATAAATGTTCTTACTGGACAGATGGAGAACAAGCAGGCAAACAGTATTAAATCTTCAACAGGCAAAGAGGGAAAATCACAGACATTAAAAATGTCAATTCTCATCATACTTTCCAGCACACCACAGGAGAGGCACTGTAAAGAAACTGCAGCTTTGAAAAAGTCTTAGATGTTTATCTCTGGAAACACAAGCTAGTAGGTCAACTTTGCAAGATTTAAAACCCTGGGTACTATTGGGAAATGGAAGGTATCAGGGCTTTGGGCAGAGAGAACAGAGACTAACTTTGTGTTGAGACTCAGTTATTTTATGCATAAATAGCTGCCTTAAGTACTATTCAGAGTTTAACACAAAGACAAAAAAGAATTTCAACCTAACATCACCTGGAGAGTCTATGATCTTTATGTACGCCAAAGGTGTTTCGTTTCTACAAAAAAGAAGACAGTATCTAAAGAAAAAAATTATGTGGGAGATTAGTATCTATTGCAGAGCACAGATATTGATACTTCCTTTGGTTACAAGCAGAGTAGATGGCAGAGCAAGAGAACTCACTAACTCTTAAACTCCTTTTGTTGTTTGTTTGTTTGGGGTATTTTTGTTGTAGTTTGGTGGATTGGTTTGGGGTTTTTTGTTCTTCTTCAAACTCCCAGGTGTCTGCTAGAAGCAGAGTTGTGAAAAAGGTTTCTATTGCTAACTCCCTTAGCCCTATTCCTGTTACTTTAGCTTAGAGATAAGATCTAGTACTTCCATGACCTTACAATGATCTTTTTACAGGAATTCTGCAAAAGCAGAACTTTACACTACTTTTTCTACCAGGTCTTTAGGGAACTGAGTCATAGGTCTAACAGCTTTCTGTTTGAAGCAGGCCCGTTCACCTCTACACACAGTTTTACTGAATGCCTAGGATGCTTTGTGGATCCTGAGGAGGAAGATATGATCTGGGAAATGGCTGATGGTCTACCCCTAGTCCCCACATCTGTTTTGGAGCTTGAGCACAGTCTATGAAAGAAAGGCAAAGCAGAGAGGTTAGAAGGAAGGGATGAAGACAGCATTCATTGCAACAGCATTAAAGCTCCAGCAAAGAGTTTGTAACTTTGCCCATATTTTATTTCATGTAATAATACTCCTTGCAATTATTTACCATGTCCTCAATAATTTTTTGGTTATCACTTATAATTTCAATCTGAATTTGTTGCAAATTCTTCCCTGGAATCATAAAACCATTGAAATTAGCAGAAACAATTCTTTCACAATCAGATGCTAAATCAAGCCCCAAGCACAAATATTTTTCTGAGGTAATCTTCAGGTTTTGAAAACCACTACTGGATACATCCACTCTTCTCATACCTCTTGGTCTTTCTGCAACTGATGATACTTAATCTTCTACTTGTAATTGTCTGACTTCTGCAGTTCTTATGAGATGACCAAATTCTTCTCTACCAAAAAATTAATATGTTTCCACTTGCAGTAAAACACTGAAGAGGAAAATTAAGTAGATTATAAACCTCTTAAATTCTAGAACATTTTTTTCTTTTTATCACGTTTTTTATAAGAGGCCAATGAACAATTTATTATGCTTTAGAAGTGAACATCCAGAAAGATTCCAGGTTCACTTTCTATGTCACAGTTAAACAGGTGCCTTTAACACATTCTCAGAGCTCAGCATCCAAGCTAAGAAACACACACTATGCTGACAATGCATGTTGTCTCTAATAAAAAAAAAAATAAAATCATTCATCAAATGCTCACATCATTTTACAAAAATTTTGGGCCTTTTATATGTCTCAAATACACCTGATTGCACTAAAGGAACATCACCTTCTTTGAAGTGGGAAAGCCCAATTCATAGAAATGGCATCTTGTCACATACACATCTTTTGTTTCCAAATATGATAGGGAAACCATCTAGAGATGTGACTGTAATAAATATGTTCTTTCCTATTTGAGAATACAGAAACACTCTCTGAAGCAGACTCGGAAAACAGACTTCCAGAAAATACATCAAATACAATTTCAGCCAAATAGCTCCAGGCTTGAAAGAGAACTAAAAACTTAACAAATGGAAGTGCTTTAACACAGAGATTAAGAATTACTGACTGTTTAAGATACCCTTCTGCAAAAGAGAAGACTCAATTCTGCTCCAGTTGAAGGCAATTGGGCATTCAGCCACTGGCTTCAGCAGCAGCAAAATCAAGTACATAATTCTCATATTTCATCCTGAAAGAAATATTCTATTACAGAAGCCTAAGTATTTCCAACCAGCATTTCATTTTTATGATCAATATTATTTCCCCAGCAGCAAACATAAATTAATTTGAGCTGGAATAATGTACAGAAAAAAAAAAGAAACATTTTTTCAGATGTTTCTATATCTTTATGTAAGTACTACCATATATTTTAAAAGCTTCATCTGTGTTTCCATATTTGACTGCTAAATCCTTGCACTACAAAAAGAAACTGAAGCATTGTACTTCTAACAATATTTGGGAAAGTAGCATGACCAGAAAGATTTACTGCTTGCAAGGCAAATGAGGAAACAGAAAGGGGTTCTTGTGAAAGAGTAGGTTGTGCTCAAATGCCAGAGCCAAATCCTGTATTAGCACCACTGACTATTCAAGGGAATGCAAAAACCTGGCTTTGACCAAAGGCCTATTTATGCTTTGTAACAAATGCAGAAGTAATCGCCAGCATCAATCAGAAAAAAGAAATTAAATTTCCCATTCTGTATGATCTGGTCATGTGTCTTCTTTTAGTGTGTCCAGTAAAAGAAAATAAGCGTCAAGACTCCATTCCACCATGTTTAATAAATTACTGTGGTGCCATATCATGTATCAAAGCATTAAAACACATACTTGTCCCACACTATACAGCTATTTGAGTCCCTTGGTATAAATAATCTTTAAAGCCACTTCTGTTTCTTTAATCACTGCTTTCTGTACATACGAATAAAGTAAAGCCACTCCAGTCTTAAGACAAAAATACATTGTTTCTTCATAAACTGATTTCACAGGCCTGTCTCCAAGCAAAGGAAATGCAGTTTTCTTAAAATCCAGTATATAAAATTACTCGCTGTCCTAGAAAAGCTATCCATATGAAAAAACAGAAGTAGGCATGGGTATGGTAGGGCTTATGCAATTCCCCCTATATTACATATTCTTGTTTTGCAGATTTATGGACCAGGCATGTGGACAGAGAACAAGCTGGGTGCTCCCCCTCAGGTCTGCAACAGCCACCCCCACACAGGAATCCTCTGACTGTGAAAAGGCAAATGTGACCTTTATAGAGAAGGACTCAAGGAAAACAAAAGTGCTTGTGTCTGGGCTCCAAAATCCCTGAATAGACTCATTGAACACACTGCTAGCACTGAACAGTAGCAGCACAACAAATGGGTCCGATTC